ACACACACACACACACACACACACGCACACACACAGTCACATCCTGTCTGCTTCTCTTCTCTTTGATCCCGGCTCTTTTATTGTATTTGAAACATCGGTGTCACAAAGAGGGCCGTGCGATCGGCTCTTGATTAAATTAATGGAGTCTGTTCATGTTGGATCTTTTCAAATGCTTATCAGCGTTGGTGCGATTACATGCTTCATTATGTATGTAACTGCGCCCCGTTGCAGTTGTTATTAAGCGGGGTGCGGGGGAGGGGGATATTTATTCCAGACTCTGGCTCGTGTTTTTGCAGTTTTCCGATCTCCCGAAGGCCTTCCTCCTCGTCTTTAATTTTTGGGTTGTCCTTGCTCTGTTGCTAAGGTAACAGGGGAGCTTGAACTGGGCCTTCAGATATTAATTAAAGCCCAATATCTTTGCACAACTGAATACATGTTCAGAAAGACTAAAGATGGGCGATTTGTGTGCAGACAGGTGGTGCATGTGTGTTTTTATTATTGAGCACTGCCGAAGGCGATAGTTTTTTACCYGTGTAGCTTCAGCAAAATATCCCATAACTCACGGCATAGATTTAAAATAACTCACAGAAGACAATAATTAGATGTGCTTACAGCTAATTAATGTTCAGTTTGTCCAATTCAAGATGGCCGCCAAAGATCATCAATATTAGCTGACAGAAAAACGACAAGAACTTAGTTAATTTTATAGATCTTGAGCTTAAATGTGGCGTTGTTGCTGAATATCATTCACAACAACTCCTTAATTTCCCAACATAATTAGTATTAGTTTAATACTCCAGGCTTTTGTTTTCTGTATTTGTTTTTCTGAGATGCACATGTGTATTATGTGTGTTTGTGTGTCTGATCTATCATGTTTCCCCCTCAGAAGTAAAGCAGCTTCTCCTCTCAACCCTGTGCTGTCACTCAGCTCACTAATTGGCTCGTAGTCTCTTGAACGCAGCTCTTTGAGCGTGATTGTGCTCTCGTTCCCTCTCTGTACTGTTTTTCTCTTCGCCCTCTGGCTCTGCTGGCTGGCTGACTGGCTGGCAGGCGAGAAGGCAGCCGCTCACCTATTGTACCGGCTCCTGGAAAACAGCTATGGGCTAAATCAGTGCAGAATGTAAAACACAGATGGCCATTGACTCACAAATGGGTTCGTGGAAAATGAGAATCTCCTGTGTCAGTCTGCAGCTCTGGCTTTTTACTCCCCTGCCTCATCTGTCAACCCAGCCATGCTCGACCTCCTCCTTTCTGTCCTGTCCCTCACTCCTTCTCCAGCTTGGCCTCCTTCTCTCCTCTGTCGCCTCGGGCTCCCAGTCAGGGTTAATTAGCAGCGAGCTGAGTTCTATTTGTAATGGTGTGRATGCTGATGCTGCATTTCTGTTTTTCATTTTTTCATACATTTTTTAACTAACTACTTCTGCATGTTGTTTGTTTTCCTCACATAAATGCACTGAATTTCTTCAGTTACTCCAGAAACGTTGTTGGAAATCTTCAGCATACTTGCTCTGTTTTTTTTTTTTTTATCTCTGTATGCTACTTTAATGTTTTATGCCATCGTTCTGTTATTTTCAGATTTTAGCTGTCGTTCTGGTTTTTATAACGTTTAGCTCTTTAGTTGTTGTTTTACTTTATCTTTTTATCTACATGTTCCAGTTTTAGCTACCATCTAGTTAACTAATTGCTACTTTCAGTTTTTAGCATTTTGCAACTCCTAGCTGGTGCCTTCTTTGGGAGATTTAGCTAGGTTTTTCCCACATTTAGCTTTTAGCTGTTTTTTGCTACTTTTAGATTTTGATGCATATTTTGTTGATTCTTATATTTTTTATATATTCTTTTAATACTGTTAGGAAGCTTTTTGATACTTTTTACTTTACCAAAGTTTTTCCTGATATCGTGAATTGCTAGTTTTAGCTTTAGCAAGTGCATAGCTTTTTTAGCTATTTTTTGCTACTTTTAGATTTTGCTAAGTATTTTGTTGATTCTTACTGAGCCTGCAAGGGGACATGGGGGATTTGTTTTCTTTTTGCGTTCCCATGCAAAAGTGTTGCGTTACCTCGCAATACCTTTTGCGTTCCCTCGCAAAAGTCATTAAACACTGYTGTGCCTRCTGCTTTATTAACAAACTCACATGTTCACCATTAGCGAGTTAGCCTACTGCTTTAATTCAGCTTCAGAATGAATATATCACACAGCCATGTATGGAAGTGTGTCATATGCCGATATTTTAACACAGTGCAGCCACGCAACATCAATGTCAATTTCACAAACTTGTGGCGACACATMCTGTTTTGGTAACYGGATATTTCAAAATAAAAGTCTGATTCAATTCAGTTCATATACAAATCAAACTTTTGCGTGGRAACGCAAAACAATATTGTGAGGGAACGCAAAAGTATTGCAAGGTAATGCAAAAGTATTGCGAGATAACGCAAAAGTATTGCGAAGGAACGCAAAAGAAAAAAATCCCCCCATGTCCACTCGTGGGCTCCGTAGATTCTTATATTTTTCAGATATTTTATTACTGTTGGGTAGCTTTTTGATAATTTTTACTTCTAGCAAACATTTTGCTGATATTATGGTACCGTACTAGTTTTAGCTTTAGCTAGTGCATTGCTATTTTAGCTAGTGTTTTGCTACTTCAGCCTTCAGCTTTTGTTCTTTTTCTTTTCAACTTGATTTCGGCTTAAGCAAATTTCATCATCATCCTTCAACACATAGTGTTCACATTGTATTTTCACAAAATAAGCTATTTTTCTAGTGGGTAAATGTGTCTTCTTCCTGTGACAACAACCTGTCCCTTCTCTGTATGTTGAACATCTATTCATTCAGGCTGCCAGGCACTTACATTACGTGCTGCATCCTGCCTACCTGCCTCCATACTTGCCTGCTTGGTTGAACTGTCTGTCACTTCACCTTCATGTGGGAGATACAGACCATATGCTCACACCTGCATGTACCTCTCCTCGATTCCTCTCGGATGCTAGATATAGAGTGAGTGGGAGCTCAGAGAAGAATAAAAAGAAAGGAGGAAAAAAAACAGCTGAAGTGGAGAAGACTGTGCCTGATCTGACAGGGACCATATGAGAGTGAATTCAGGGCATAGAGGGGACCTGATGGAAAGCTGCAGTTGAGGAAAAGCTGCCAGATTTCTCTGGCTGCAGGAGGAAAAGGGCTTCCATTGCTATGCAATGCCTCACTGCTCCATGGAGCAGGTTAAAGTGAAAGGGAGAGGATTTTAATCACTTCTTTGTTTGTAATTTTAGTAGCCTTCTCAATCAAAATCAGCAAAAAGGTCAACATTTGCCAGAGCATAAAAAAAGGTTTAATTTTGGTGTTAAAATATAAGTTCAGACCAGGTTGATGAGCTAATGGACCAGGACCAAGACAAAGGTGGATTAATGTAATCTTTAAATAACTACTGTCTAAGCAAATGTGTAAACAAAAGTGAGAAGATCCAACTATTCATCCATCTTCTGTTGCTTTTCTGTGGTCAGATTTTGGAGGTAAAAGGTCCAGATAGAAATCCAGACATCCTTCTCCCCAGCAACATCTCCAGCTCCTCCTGGAAGGGATCCCAACACATTCCAGGCATTGACAATCTGTCAGAGTCTCCCCTCCAACACACTGGATTTAACATAAAGTGTCAACCCATTCTCACTCCCAAGTCATCACATATTGACGCTTTTCCAAGGTTCCCTCTGCGTCCGATTTTGACGCGTCGGGTAGGCCCCTTGCATCAGTTTTTGACGAGATGGGGCGGAATCTGTTGTCATAATTTCAAAAAGTGTAGAAAATGCACAAATACTACCATCCCAAAGCCTAAAATGTTCCTGACCCTATACTAAAATTAACCATTAACCCTGATACCTAAATTTAACCATTTTTAGAAAATGTAGGAAATTCACGTCAACTACGTGTTCCAAAGCCTAACATTACCTAATATTCGCCRTAGACATCCTATCCCTGACCCCACTACCTAAAATTAACCATTAATCCTGATCCCTCATATTAACCTCAGACCCCTGACCCAAAGACCCCTGGTGGCGCAACCCGGAAAAGCCACGGGCGGCAAGGACTGACACAAGGGGGTCACCTGAAGCGTCAAAATAAGACGCAGAGGGAACCTTGGAAAAGCGTCAATATGTTGACGAGTCRGGAGTGAGAATGTGTTCAAAGTATGATCCCTCAATAGTTGGAGCACAGTCCCCCTTTATAGACCAACGTTCAGGTCTGCCTCTCTACGGKTTTAAATAAGACCCTCAATGTAATTCTTCCATTATTTGACACTATCTTCAGTCTGGGTCATTTCTCCAACCAGGTATTTATTGGGACAGAGAGAGATGTTTGAGACCAACAAAGCTGCATCATCAGCATATTTGAAAACTCTGTCTTGCAGCTACAATGTATCAAAAGATAAATGAAACACCAGATTCAAACGATGCTTAAAATAAAACTTCAGTTCATCTGAGGTTTTTGTTTGATAGTATTTAAAAGTATTTAAAGCTGGGGTATATTTGTGTCTTCAGCATTCAAAGCAAAAAAAAAAAACAGTCTAAAAATAAAACTCTAAAGAAAAACGTTCATGAGTTTCTGATGTTTTCTCAAGAATTAAATAGATGTTTATTTTTTCTGTGGTTTGTCTGGACACCCCTTCATAACTCCTATAAACTCCTATTTCTTCAGATTTCTTTTTTTCCTTTAAGGATTTTACCTTCACATTTATCACCCTGATGGTTTTTAAAATTCATTTTTTGTCCAGTTTTCAGTTTCAGTGTGCATAATAAAAAAAATTAAGAGATAAAAGTGCTTAGAGTTCAATAAAATTACAGAAAAACATGTTTTTAACCAACCTACCAAACAAAACCACTTCACATGGTCATGAAAGTATTAGACTTAAATTTAAAAATGTAAATATAATGAGCAGTATTTTCATGTAAACCTCTAATTTACTTCACTCAGACTTTAATATCAGTATTTTCACACTTTAGTCTGGGTTTTATTAATGTTAATACTCCATGTGACTAATTTGACTGGTGTTGTTTTTTTATTGAGTACTTCTTCTTGGAACTTTACTCAAAGCAGCTGTAGCAGTACAAATGGGATATTTTCATATTTTGCCGGTGACTACAAAAGATGAATATTTTTAGTTTGTAAAATAATGAATGTTTTTTTTTTCTCATGCAGCCAGGGTACGTGAAGCTCTCCAAGCCGGTGGCTCTGTGGACCCAGCAGGATGTGTGCAAATGGCTGAAGAAGCACTGTCCCAGTCAGCACCAGATCTACAGCGACTCTTTTAAACAGCATGACATCACAGGTATTAAAATCTAACCATTCTTTTTAAAACATCATCATAGTAGTTTTTTTTTCAGACTTCAACTTGGTTAACCTTCCTGTTAGAAGAGGTCATAAAGAGACAAATTATTTACAAACAGTAACTGTTGGTGTGGGAGTCAATAAATTTATAGTATTTTAAAACTCTTGAAATGCTTCCAACTCCTGCTAGAATAATGCTTAATATTCAGAGTCAGAACTGTTCATGGCTGGTATTCCCAATAAAGCACTCTTAAGKCTCTAGAGGATTATTTTAGGGAGTTAAACGGATATGCTTGTGTGTATCATTTCACAATAATCACAAAATTGCAGCTGATGTGACGAAATACCTTCAGCATTTTTTCTCTAAAGTCACAGACATTTTGGGGCTTGTCTTCATGCGTTTTTCAGATTCCTGCCTGGTTTGTTTGTGCTTCTCTGTCAATAAAGTCCTCCTGGGTGTTCTTCCATGGAGCTCGTTAAAATTCAAAAAGCTACAGATGGTGCGATCAGAAAGTGTTGCATCTTGACTTTGAAGTTTTGTTTAAGTAGTTTAGAATGGTTTCTTTTTGCTCTTTTTCTAACATGGGCATCGTCTGATTAACACGGGGTTGCATTTCCTTTTGCATCCACATCCTGGGAGGTTTGCTGTAGTCTCATGAACCTTACGTATTTTATAATATTGGCAGAAGTGGTCAGAGGGTCATAAGGCTRCTTGGAGATGGTCCTGTAGCATTTWCCTTTACCACTATGGATGGGCATTGTTTGAATTCAGGTTCTGGTTTCTGGTTTTGATTTGGTTCCCAATGATTTCTGATTTTGATTCTTTATAGAGGCAAGGTAAACAAAAAGTTAAATGGTTAAAATRAGGTAKSYAACCAGAGTTCTTTCTGGATGAAATAGTCTCAGCTTCTCTAAGAATTTAAATTCTATAAACTTTTTCTATTTATGAAGCTGTTATCAACCWCTTTATATCAAACCTGTGAACCGCGGGCATCCCACACATTCTTCTTCGTTGTGTTCAGGCAGCTCACCTACTGGTTTTTCTGTTGGCTTTCAACAGCTTTTTTTTCAGTCAGCAGACAGGGTATCGAAACTACGACTTGAAATGTAAAATTTCGAACACTTCTAGGAGGATCGAAACATTAGTCCCAGTTCCAGTCAACACTTGAGACTCGATGCCCAACCCATTTTATCACAGAGTATCCTTTTCTCAGTGTTGTGAACACAACACGCCAATCGTCTCAGTGGCAGACGTAGTTAACTCCCAAAACCTAAAGTTTTAAAAACAGCAGAGGTCTATAAAGTACTTGGGAAAAAAACTCAAAGTAAAATTACATGAACAGAAATGACTTTGGTAAAAATATATTTCACAGATGAGAAAACTACTTAAGTAAAAGTAATAAAAATGTTCACAAAAATTGGAAAAGTAAAAGTAGTTTACACACTTTCTAATACAGAGGTTCGGGGTCGGGACCCACAATGGGGTTCCAAAACATCAAGTTGGGGTCCTGAAAAGGTTTTCTGAATTAATTATATTAGAAAATAACAACTAACAATTAWTTTTTTTTGCCTTTGTTGTTACAAAAGAGTAAGGTTAGTGTACTTAAAATGGACAAAAATAGCATAATGAATATTGTTACTATGCTCTTATTTTTTTGACATGAAAACATTGGTCATGATCCGGGGGCTCAGATCTCTTCTGCTGGTATTTTGAGGGTCCAAGGCTGAAAAGTTTGGTAACCACTGCTCTAATAAATAAATTGTTGAATTTACTGAACCAAACTGACTCCACTAAGCCTGKTTGAGTAAATTGAGCAATATATGYATCTTTGYTCAGTTTACTCAACTAATCTTAGTGGAACCAGTTGACATGACTTTGTTGAGTAAATTCAACACTTCATTTTTTAGAGTGCATAAACGTCTGCTTTCATGATGAGTTCAAACATATTTAATTTTGTAACAAGTAACTAGGTGTTAAATTTTAAAGTAAAGAAGTAAAAGTATCATTTTTAGCTTTAAAATGTAACAAAGTAAAATTAAAAGTAGCTAAAAAAAATGGTCGAATTACAAATCCTCAAAAAAACTACTTAAATACTGTAACAAAGTAAATGTACTTAGTTACTATAAACCTCTGAAACAGATATTGTGATCAGTTATCTCTCAGCATGTGTGTTGTGAGCTACTACCACACTGAATTTTAGCTCAAAATCTTTAAAATACATTGAGTTATAGTCATTTATGTGTTTGTTAAGGTGGTGGCCATCTTGAATTGGATTAAATCTAAAAGTTTTTTGTTGTAGATATCCAGCCAGCTGCATTATGAAAGTTTCATTAAAATCTATCGTCTGGTTTATGAGAGTTTTTTGCTGCAGGCACACACTCGGGCAAAAATTGCTGCTTCYCCTTTGGCACTGGGTGATAAAAGTGACCAAACACACAGATCACCACAGAWTGGGTGTTTTTGCTTAAGTTGCTCGCACTGTAAATTCAATTCAAGATCAGGTTTGTGGTCAAAACCTGAGGAAGCGAAAGCAGATTTTATTCTTCACCTCCCAGGTGTGCTGCCACCTGCAGCTCTGCCACGCGTCTGTCAACCCCTCCCGTCACTCTGGCAAGAGTCGCCACGTCAATCACTCCCATAAAGAGGCTCTTCAAGGTCACCCTGGGTCTAACAGCTCTCCAGTCCTCATGGCAACAGACTGTCGTTAATTTGCAAAGCAGTCATCCCTCTCGGAGCACGACTGATCACACTAATATGTTTATTTGTTGCTGTTGAGGACCTCCTCGATTCAGTGACTGGCTGGCGAGATAAATCGCAGAGCGGCGTGATGACTCACTGTGCTGTTTTACCCTTTGATGCGTTTTGACCGCTGTATGTCTGCGCACAGCTTTAGCATCCTCTGTTTAATGGTCTGAAAATATGAATCTTTCTGCTTTGCACCACAAGTCGCACATGTCTCATCAGCTGCAGGGAGGTCCAGGAGATGACCCACAGTTCATTGCGTCCTCGCTGAGCCGCTGCTTCAGGTTGAATCGAACTCCAAGAAGAAGCACTTAAGGATTTGTTTTCTTTYCACTTTTGGCGTACAAGCCGCCAACCACTGATGAATCACCACTGAAATGTGAGTTTTAGCTTTTTTTTTTTTGTCAGTTTAATGATTTGAGTCTAAATGATCTATTTGCTAAATAGATCATTTGGTGTAATGATTCAGAAAAATATGCTCAAAGGACTCAGAAGTTACCAGTGAAGTCATTTTTCGTAAAACATCCGTGTAGTTATCGCATCAAAGATGGATTATCKCAGAGGAAGTCACTTTGGGATGGGTTCTTGCAAAGAACTTTAACAAGAAAAGACAGTTCAGATCTTTTGAAGTGGGTTTTTATGGAAATGTTTCAAACAATAAATATCCTAACTTTTAGATACAAGAGCAGTATTTGTTTGGAAAATTAATTAATTAATTAATTAATTAACAGTTATTTAACCAGGCAAGTCCTGTTGAGATCTCAGATTTCAAGGGAGGCCTGAAGGCAACCAATTGTACATGTTTTTAGGGGAAAAGTAATGCATAATAGTGTTTCATGTGTCAATTTTATTTAAAAAAGGGGCTAAAAATACATAATAAATTACAACCAACAATAATAAAAACAGATCAATTACAATGTCAGGCCTTACTTTAATTAAATGYCATTGAATAAAAGTCTTAAGAAGCACTTTGAAGTTTTCCAAGCTATGAGCAGATCTAATATTAAAGGGTGAGTTATTCCATAGATTGGGAGCAGCAACAGTGAAAGTATGATCACCTTTACTCCTAAATCTGAATCGTGGAACATCTAGAAGCATCTGGTTGTGATTGCTGTTTTTAAGCTAAAACGGCCAAGCAATCGTTGGAGTCTAAATCAAAATCATTTATGTTGAAGTGATGGAGTTGTAACCATTTTAATTCATCTCATGCAATATCACAGGATAACCACCCTCAGCTATTACCACATCAAATTCCAATAACAAATATGTTCATCTGAATGTGTGCAAATTTGCTTTTGCTACTCTGCTCACCATTTAATGGATTTAAACAGTTTTAACCTCACAATCATTTTTTTCTCCTTTTACTTTATTGCGTAACCTCTTGGGTTCAAGCAGCAGCTACAACCTTGAGCCTCTATGAATGATTTATAACAGAGTTGAAAGAAAATTTTAAAAAAGTCACTGATGATGAAGAAATAAACTCCCATTTTTAAATCTGGTGATCCAACAGAAGTTTCAAACTATCGGCCAATTTCTGTTCTTCCTATTTTTTCTAAGTTACTTGAAAAAACATCATTTAATCAACTACTTCAGCATCTAGAAGCTAATAATATGCTAAGCAATAGCCAACATGGTTTCCGCACGTCAAGGTCAACCATGTCTGCCTTAATTTTATTCACTGAACAAATACGTGTTGCTTTGAACAAAGTTCAAGTAACTGGTGCTGTATACAGTATATTGATTTTCGTAAAGCGTTTGACACAGTTGATCATTATACACTCTTACAAAAGTTGATTTCTTTTCAACTTTCATCATCTGCAATACAAATGTTTTCCTCTTATTTGACTGATAGGTGTCAGGTTGTGAAACATGGAAGCTCTGTGTCCGGGTCTCTGCCCTGTTCCGTGGGAGTTCCGCAGGGTAGCATACTGGGCCCATTGCTTTTCCTATTATACATAAATGACCTTCCAAAAATATTGAAGTATTCAAATATTTTAATGTATGCTGATGATACTGTTCTTTTTTGTCTGATTTCAATATTGAATCTATTAATAGTCAGTTACAAGCAGATCTTCAGACATTTCATGGTTTGCTTCAAGATAATATTTTGTCAATTAATGTTAAAAAAAACTGTGCATGTATTTTTCCTCACCCAGGAGACATTTCAGTAGAACAAATCAACTCACTTTTTAAACAAACCCCTTGATATTGTCACTACCTACAAATATCTTGGAATTACTTTGGATTCTCATTTGACT